TCAAGAGAAACAAATGATTACTTCTGTGTCCCAAATATATGCTAATTCATGTAAGCACATACAAGGGCTAATTTTAGCCTAAAGTGACTGTGCCCCACCAAGAAATAATGCAGTACATATCGTAAACCCACACTGTTTACACTTTTGTTTTTATATGCGTAAGCAAAAAAACCCAACATGTCATTAGTAAGCTTAAGAGGTGCTGATAGACCGATTTTTGTTACCTTGGGACAGAACCATGCTACCTATTTTCGGCTGTTTTTGATGTTTATGTTATGCTATGCTAGCTGTAGCTCCATATTAAGTGAGAGATATCAATCTTCTCATTAACTCTCAGCAAGAAAGCACTGTTTATCAAAATGTCAAACTATTCTTTAAATGTGAAAAAAAAACTCCACAACAATCACTCAAAACCAAACATTGAATGTGCATTTCTGGACATGTTTATTGGCAAATCTCAGTTCATTAGTGAAGTGTTTTTCTTGCTTACTTTCCCTTAATTCAGTTCTTATCTGAAACTTTTGTTTGTATCGCAAATATATTATTAGAGAGAAATTTTGCTTCAAAAGTGGAATATGTTAGATGTAAAACATATATAACAACAGTCCATGTACATTCACAAACATCTATTCAGTTTTCAGTAACATAACTTGTATTAAACAGTAACAGTTGCTTTTAGAGGCAGCATTCTTTGAATAATATCACAACAGTGCACAGTAGGACTTCCTCCGGTATCTGTTTATTACTTGTTGCTCTCTGTCTCTTATTACCCTTGTTCCTGGCAAACCAGCTCCTCCTGGATCCCAGTCCAGACATTTCCTGTCCCCCAGGGATTCAGGGCAGAATCCTATCTATAGGTGGCTGTAAGTGTATTACAATACCAGTGTGTACTGAATGTGCTGGGCTTAGGTTAACAGTTTAGCTGAGGGAGTTTGGAGTCTTCTCCCAATCATTCCAGTCCACATTTCATTATGACAGGAATCTTAAATCATATGAGAGCCTCATGGACCAGTCCAACAGGAGGGATAAGACCAAATCTGGACATGATCAGAGGAAATGCTTTGTATGTCAGAAAAAATGAATCTAACTGAAATTGTCCTCTTCATCATTCATCCTCAGATCTGGAAGATACATTACCACTGACTATGAGTTAATTTCTGTATGATAATGCTTTATTTTATAGTCTCTAATAGTCTGCCAATAGTTTCCTCAGGCACCTCACCTCTTGCCCAGGGTCATCTGGGATTGGCTCTAGCACCCCCGCGACCCTGTTCAGGAATAAACAGTATAGATAATGGATTCTGGGAGCCGTGTTGTTGGGGTTAATAGATGAAGAAATTTTGTGCTTCTCTTAGCAATTCGCTTTAGCCATCTTTCAGTAACAGGAACTTAAGCTTTATTTCAAGTTCAGCTAGTAATGAATGTCATACAGTGGCAGAAAGTTTTCAAAGGTTTCCTAACATCTTCATGGCAGAGCACCCATCCCAGAGCCATTTTGTGCATAGTATTGAGTGTAAGTTCTGTTCTGAATTAGTAGTGATTCAGTATATATGTAATAATAACAACCAACATAGAAGAAACACTTACTCTTCCACTTTAGCGCTTGAAACCTTAAATACTTTCATTGTGTTGAACCGCACAACTTTTTGCATCCTTTCTGCTTTATCAGTCAAGCCAGAGACAGAAAAAAATTTATACATTTCACACATGTTACACACATATGTTTACAGTACTCCACCCCACTCTCTCCAAGAGGCCCTGGCCCCCTGCCTGGGGAGTGGCAACTGAAAGAAAAAGATCATAAAGCAGAGATAGTGACCCTATATGAGGAGTCTGATGAGAAGCCATTATTGGCACTGATCTCCACCCCAGCTGGACCTCAAGCGTGTGGGCCCTTGGCGGGTGAATAGACAGGCGGTTCTGGGACTTTGGGAAGGAAGAGCAGCCAGCTGGAGCAGCAACAGAGTGGTATTGTGAGCGGACTGATGCCTCAGTGGAGCACAGACACAGGCCGCCAGGATGGCCTCTTTCTGGGCTCCCGTATGGCTCTCTGTGCTAAACACACTGTTGGAAGTGGGTCAGACACAAGAGCTTGGAGGAGGGCAATCAGAGAGTGTATGCTCAGCAGAGATTCAAGACAAAGAGGAATCTAACAGTGAAGCTTATGTACAATGAGCTGGAAGAGGCAGGTGCAGGAGGCTTTGTTGACAGTGTTTTAAAACTTCTATCAAAAAGACAGTTATTGGTATTGTGATCAGATTCTCTCATGATCATTGTTTACAGTGATAACACAACAAGATTGTGTTTAATATGCATTCATGTCCATTTGGTAATGAATACACAAATTCAGCCTGTTAGCTAGGGTTGAAAAGCCAAACATGTAATAACAAAACAATGTTTCCCTCCTGCCTTATACAAAGTCATGATCATCATTAGGAGTTAAACTTTATATAACAAAATTAAAAAAACAAACACTTCTTTGAAACTGATGTTCAAAGCAGAAGCTGTTGCTCTGCTGGCCAGGAGGAGGCAGTGTTTCATTCTATGTACGTTAACATTCTTCACAGCATCCATTTTGCCTCCAATTCTCTGCAGCTCTTAAGCTTCAAAATGATTGCTCTACCTACAAGCAGGGAGAAGCTAGTTATCTTGTTATTGATGTGGGCCCTTAGAAGAGAAAGGTGTTGCCACACACTCTGTCAGATGAGAGGCCGGAGCACATCAACACAATATAAGAAAGATCTGAAGAAGTCAAAGGAATGTGAGCGTAATACCCTCCTTCAGAAAACAGAAATAACTGTGGCCGTACCGCATTGAAAGCTGAAACATGTAAATACTATAACAGCTTTGTTTATGGGTGTATCAGGTCCTTTATCACCACACAAATCACAGGAATGATCTTTAGAGAACTCTTAAACCTAGTCACAATTCAGCCTGAAAAGACATTCAAATGTTTCATCCCTACCTCCACTTGGCATTTATGATCCCTTGAAAACAGAAAATGAATAGCTTTTGTGTTTGGATTGTTGCTTTTTGTCACATTTCTTAAAAACACACACACATACACAACACACCAAAACAGATTTTATACCACAAATAGTTTCAGTAAAATCACATTCCAGTATGCAGCAACATGCGTGTATGGAGGATAAAATGAATGTGCAGTTATGCTTTGCATCTGTCCTGGCGCCCTGTCAGAACTTCATCTGGTTACTCATTGTTTGTTCAGAAACTGAACATGCTTTGTGTTTATCCTCCTACACATACAGCCACAGCAGGGAACCCAGCAAGTTCAAATCAAGCAGGGGTTTAAAGAATAAAAACTTATTTTAGTCAGGATCTGGTAAAAGTGGGAAATGTATGACAGAGGAGACATTAGATGTGAATTTGACACAAAACAGACCACACCATCACGAGCTTGGTCTTGGTAAATACTTTATATGCAACTGCTTTTTGATCTTTGCATACACTGTATAGAAAACACTTAACGTAACATTTTTCAAACATTTAAAGCACATCTGAGCTTTCAGACAGACATGTAATCTACAGCTTTATAAACGTTTCCTCCCCTCTGGTCTGTCCATACACACCGCTCACCATACTCCCCACCACATAAAATCCCTTCCAAACACACACATATGCTTGCACACACACAGCCGCCGCTATCAGGCTCTCCACTTATTATTCACAGTAGGCTTTTTAACACTGTTTCTGTATCATATGATGATTCTCAAGATTTTTTAGTATTTAAAATAGCTATCAACATTTATGCTGTAATATTTGGAAAGTGATACATTTGTATTTACAGATCGAGATTCAAATACAATGTGTGCATACATATGTATACTCATATGCAGGTATGTATATGTGAGTGCAGATCGCTCTTCTGATCATTCTGTTTCCGTCACTGACTGAAGACCAGTTCCAATGAGAGCATCCAGTCTGTTTAATACAGGTCAATTAAAAAAAGAAGGAAGCAATGTGGAGCGCTGATGAACTTTTGTCCAACAATCGTGCCTCAGTTGTTCAGAGAGGAGATACAGGGCAGCAGAGCAAGATGGTCACTCCCTCACTCCCATACAGATGTCTGTGACAGCATGTGGAGATTATGGAATACTGAAGTGACTACAGATGGTGTGAGGTGCTCACAGCATGCCAGACTCATCGTACATTCAGCAGAGGCCAGGAAGTGTCAGTCATCATCTTGGGCGACTGCAATTTAGAGTTAGTCCTACAACCTCAGTGACTGGCACATTCAGGCTCTCGTACTCATGTTTGCATTTCATACACGAGAAAAGAAGATAAGAAGAAAACATGGCAAATGGTCACAGTACTGTGTTTGATTTAAAATACCCCCTTAAGCATAAAAAATAGATGAATCTAGGGCGATGAGAAGTCTTCACTTGCCCCAATCAACCTCAGTCCTTACTTTTACTCTTTCTCACACAGAGACATAAGCACTCACGTGTACCATCAAATACAGGAAGTACAGAAGGATACACACACACACACACACGGAAAAATAAACCAAAAAAATAAAGGCTGACATGCACACATGGCCACACACATACACTGAGACCGGGGTAAGAGACTAAACATAAGAGTAAAGTGAGGCACATAATCTGGCAGGCAAATTCCAGCCTGAATTTTGGTATGCTCAAAACAGAAGTCAGATGTGAATGGCGTCACGGACAGGCCAAGGTTTTCAGCCAAGTGACGATTCTAAAACACATCTATTTAGCACCTATATTTTTTCAGGTGCCTTTACCATACTCCGCATTAGTAAAATTATGTCAGCAAAAAGGTTGGGGTTGGACTAAGGTATCTTGGTGATTATGCGAGTATGTGGGTGGCATTGGCTTAGGAGGTAGAGTGGGTCATCTCCTAACTAGAGGGCTGGCGGTTCGATTACCAGCTTCTCCAGGCCATGTGTTGAAGTGTCTTTGAGCAAGACACTGAACCCCTAGTTGCTCCTGGTGATATTACCGGTGTGTGAATGGGTGAAGGGGCAATAGTGTAAAGTGCTTTGAGTGCACTTCAATGTGTAGAAAGGCGCTATACAAGACCATTTACCATGAGTAGTGCTTAAAGGCTTATCTTTTCTTTCACATCCTCATTTGCTGTTACCAAGGTCCAAGGCATCCACATAATTAAACATTAAGAATTTATGTGCTCCAACAGTCTCATAAACTCTGGGTTGGGACCCAAAATAGGTCTATAAGCCTATTTCTGCTGGGTCCCTACATGGCAAGAGTAGTAGCAAGTTTTCATTAGCTGGGGTCAAAAGAATAGGGACTACACTTTGTTTCCTGGATGAAAAAGCTTAAGAACCACAAACATTGTCTTTGCTGGGTGCAGGAATGACAGTGATTGAAAATGGAAATGTTAGTCAGTCTCTGGAGGGTGTTTAGAGAGGTGCTTGTAAGGCCCTTGTGGGTCTTTGAGGACCATTCAAAGTGGTAGCACTTTGCTATCCCCATATGTAAAATGCACATATTTTATAACTCTTTTTCCATCTACTTTCCATTTACAGTATTTAAAAGCTACTTCATTATCCTAGGCATGTTGGTTCACAGGGTCAGTTAATTTTGGTCCAAACCGATAACAGAAAGAGATACTAGGAGAGAATGAGAGAGAACAGGTTATCTGTCCATCCTTCCAATCACCCTTTGCTTGGACATGGATGGAGATCAGGATTTTAGGTGAGTTTCAGTTCAACCATCATCTGGGGTTGAGTCTTCAGGGGTGGATGAGTCCTCCGTAAAGTCATCTGATGAGCCACTCTTGTGGATGCGGCCGTCGCTGCGCATGCTGTGGAAAGTCTTCCGGAAAGCCTCCATCATTGAGTGTGCCAGCTTCTTGGCCTCCAGCTTGCTCTCACACTCTACAGCATGGCAGTCCATCTGGAAAGACAGGTCATCGTTGATCTCCCGGTAGATCCAGGCAAATACATTGGGTCTGATGCTGTGGTCAGCTGTGCAGTAAGCGATCCGAGCGACCTGGTAGGTGTCCATGGTTACTGAAGCCTCGCTATGCTCATCAAGGTGGTGAAGACGCACCTGAAAAGGCCGAATCTCCAACAGAGAACTGCCTGTGGGGCAATTGCCCTTCTGCTGGGCAAGAGCACGGCGCTCCACAAGACCGACCACCGCCGACTCTGTGCAGCCAGACAGGAACTGGGTCCCAGAGATAGTCACCTTACCCAGGTAGGTCACCTACAGGAAAAGAGAAACAGAGGGATACTTTTACATTCATCCTTTCCACAATATGATACATGCAAAAAAACATAAATATGCAGTTGCTACAAATACAGTACACCACTACCCTTACAACTGCAGGTTTGCAACAGATGTACAGAATCATAGCCATACAGAGATACAGTCCAAAACACCATAAAATGTTGAAAGATTACATAGCTGATTAACAATACACTGAGTGATTAAAAAACAGAATCCTGCTCCTCAAATAAAGTGGAACTTTACAGTACTGCTCCATCATACTGAAAGATTCCTGTTATTATGATAGTAAATGGACATACTGTAAACTTGTATAGCACTTTTCTATGCATTGGAGCACACACAAAGTGCTTTCACATTTGCCTCACTCACTCGCACTCACACACACACACACACACACACACACACACTGGTGGACAGCCACCGGGAACAACTTCAGTATATAGATCAAGGACACTTTGACATGGAGAAACCAGGAAATGAACCATAGCTGCCCTTGTAGCATTTATCAAGCACATTTCTTTACAAAATTATATATATAAAAAAAGAGAAAAACAATGGATGAATAAAAATTTTATTATTCAAAACTATCAAAAACAACAAATTATTGTTAGAATAGAGTGGACCCTTGGGGGACACCACAATCAAGTGGACAAGAGGTCAAAGAAATAATGGTGCTGACCTGCAAGCTGTATTTTAGTATATGTGGGAAAAGAGCATCCACCCATCAACCTTGGATTATTCTACAAAGAACTGATGTTTGGTTCCACAAGTCCCTTGTTATCAGGGCTAAGGATGGCCCAACTCACCAGTTAAAATGTCTGTGTTTTTCTAGTGGATTGCACAGTACATGCAGTGTCAACCTGAAGTAAAATGGGACAAAGACATTAAATGTGAAGAACAAAAATCCGTTCAGGCAGTTATCAATATTGAAAATGTTACTGGATGAAAGATAATGGGAGCATATTGGTATGGAAAAGATTAAAAATGAATGTGTGACTGTGAAGTACATAATTCCATATTCTGTGTACATCTTTAGAGTAATAACCCTCAAAAACTGGGGTGCTTTAAGTCACTGTTTGGAGAGACACTTTTTAAAAGAGCTACTAGCTTTTCTAAATCTCTGTGGTAACTGTGCTGATATGCTGAAGGCTGTGTGTGTTGTTTCTCAAAAAGAAAAAAAAAAAAGCTGTGGCTGCAACAAGGACTATGCCATAGTAATGCACACTGCATACCAAGAGTGTGATCAAGTGAATGGAGGCAGACAGGGAGAGAGAGTTAAAAAGTAAACAAAGCTGGAGTTTTCTAAAGGAACATGGCCAATTCAAAAGCGGTCCAGGAATATGAATGAATGAATGATAAGTGTGAAGAATGAAGGAAAATTGTGTGTCATATATTGTAACAACGTGGAACATTTATAGAAAATGATGTGCATTCATGGTTACTGTAGATGCACATCTGCCTAATACGAAGCCACTCCATCATCTCAATAACACTATTCCCTTAAGAAAGTTAAGTAGACTAGTATCTATAAGTCTTGTATGTGTATTTAGTCTGAAAACAGCTGAAGTCCCCCTAGCAGATCAACAGATACCAATAGCAGACTGACAGAGAGAGAATTAGAAGATCTTATTTAAAAAAGGAGATGAAAATGAACGAGAAGTGGAGCTGCAATAGGAAGAAGAGAAAGAGTAACCTAGTGAGAAACAGATATCATGACTTTAGGGGGTGCCATAACAATTTCTATATAGGCTAACTATTTTGCGGTGAACTTCATCCACATACACGCAAACACTGAGATCCTACCACTCTGGCAGATTGGCCCCTGACATACCATAGCTGTGGTGCAACATGACATTTGATTTCATTGTTTCCTACAGGCAACAGGGAGAGAACACAGCTGCCTCCTCATGTCTGTTTTTCATTAGCAGTGACCACAGTGTTGCACATACAGACAGCCTTTGCACCAGCTCTGTCATTCAGCTGAGTATCACAGGTTCGCAGGAGCCTGGATGAGGGGCGGTTTGCTAGTCAACCACATTGACAACCTCTTGCAGCCAAAAGGCGGTCAGTCATTCGGCCAGCCAACAAATCCAAAGACTGCGCCAAGACACTGTACATCAACCATCCAGTGTGCTGTTCAGATGTGAAACAGCAAAAGAGTAATTATAGACTTCTTTTCTCTGACGCCACTATTTTGATATTGAGTTACTTGTTTAAACTGGGATCCTTTCTACTGATTGCTTGCTTCCTAGTTGAATGAAGACCGGAACCTTTGCCAGGTTTTATTTTCTACTGGAAGCTGGGAATAGACCAGTGTTTTCTCACAATCTGTATACAGTATGTCTGCTCTACTGTCTCTGTTCTGCTGTTGCGTTAGAGAACTAGAAAGAAACTTTTTGTCAATGGGGCAAAGATGCTATTACCCTGGGCAGAAGTACCAGTGATGGACATACACTAGATAATTGTACTCTCTGGAGCCAACAAGACATGGGATACCAGCGGTGAGTGACAGTGCTGAAAAAACGGAGGGTTAATTCGAACAGACACATTTATATCTACAAATATCTTTTGCCACTAAATTACAAATCACAGAGGACAAGACCTGCAGAAGCTGCAGTGAGCTTGCCCTCAATATAATTTCCTTTGACCCTTGACATCTTTCAGTCAGGTACTCTGGACAACATACCGTATAAGTACAGCAAACCTTATAAATAAGTGTGCTTCCTATTGCAGAAGAGTTTTGCCCCAATAAACCTTAAAAATATCTATAGAAATTCATTAGATAACACATTGTGCAACAATATTTTTCAGGCTGTTATAAGTAAATTAAACAATGCACAAAATTACAAACTTTGTAAAGGATGAATTTTTAGGGGATAGACATGGAAAAACAGTAAAGAATAAATATAAAATAATAAAATAAATAAAATAGCAGGCTGGTAATCTGGCAGATAACAGTACAAATATGGGCCCGCTCAAATAACACAGAATAAGAAATATATAAAAATTATTTTTGAAAATGTGGAAGTTACTGTGATACTTTATTTTCTTTCTTAAAAAATAATGTTCAGACTTGAAGCCAAACTCTCTGGTAAAATAATACTGAAAAAAGCACCATTAAATGCTCAGCCAAGGATAGATGTGATAACCATATTAAACCTGAAAGCAAACTTTTTATCTATTATCTGGCACCAGCTGGACGCCTGAATTAACTGCAAGGCCTCAAAGCAACAGCCTGAGGTGGTTCTGTGCACAGTCTGTCTGGAAGCAAGCAAATTGCTTAGGTGGACAAGAGTCAAATTAGTGGGTGACTTAGCAGCTACACTATGTGTGTATCTTTATGTGAGCGTGTCAAGCGCATCAGGACGGTTTCCAAAAGGTACAAATCATGGGTTATGATTGGAAAAATGAAATGACACACTCAAATGATTGAAAATTCTGCAGACAGAGAAGAGACATGATTCAGGCTGAACTCACCGCCAGAGCAGAAAATGACCTTCTTTCAAGATCCCCAAGCCAAAATATAGATGCCTGCATGAGAACTATCAGTGTTTGTGCGATGAATAAAGCAAACCGCTCTATCTAGCTTGTTTACACATCAAGCTCTAGATATAATGGATACATCAGTCCGTTCACCCCAGACCAGAACACATCTGCTGTCCTCTGCTCTGGCAGCCTGCTCACCAGACATCTCAGTGCTGGCAAGTCAGGCAGGCAGCTTAAATCATTCCTCAGTACAGAGTCCTCCCATTTGTTTCAACTTTCCATGTGTTTCTCTTCTCTGTTGTCTCTCCTTCCCTTCACTCTCTCCTCTCTTTAACCCATTTCTTCCCCTCCTCCCCTCCTATCATCTGTTTCTCTCTCGCTCTTTACATCCCCTGCACTGCTTTTCACTCTTCTCTAAAGCTAATTGCTAACAGTTATATACTGTCAAACTGAAAATATTGTTTCCATGTGAAGCAATACAGAGACAGAAATCAAAATCAATTCAGGGATGAAAGCCTTGAGCGCTGCAAAGAAGGAAAAGTGAAAGGGAGCAAACACTGACAGAAAAACAGACAAACAACAGACAGACTGAGAAAAGGAGGAGAAAATAAAAATTTGGAAACTAAGCTTATGTGAAGTTGAAGTGTATACTATCCACTGGATTGTTGCTGAGGACAAGAAACTAAATATTTATGTATACCTGCTTTGTAGGAGACTGACAAAAAACTAAGAAAAGCTGGAGCATAGTTAAGTATTTGCATGTGTGGTGAGCCAGGTCAATATTACTGACCCTTGGTTTTATTCTTCTATTCTCCCACTGCTTCTATCTTTCTTACACTGAGAGACTACTGACCGACTGCTATGACCATTATATACGATATGACATCGTCACCTCACACCACTATGCAAAAATGAAGCCAAAATATCATAAATACAGTGGCTGCCATCTTGCTTTTTTGCAACCAGATTCTGTGCAGTAGTGACTGTATGTCAGTTACTATCTGTCATAAAGAAGTACAATGACAGATCGAACCAACAGAGTAAACGACAACAACCGTCCCGGAGACTCCACAGCCAAATGTGCTCAAGCTTGTTAATAAATCACATTTTTCTTCACATTATTCAGTTTTTCTTTCACCTGTGTTTAGTTTTGACAAAGAACTGTCTTATCACTGTGATACTAATGTAATCTGTAGATATGCTCAAATGTAAAAACTACTGAGAAAACAAATGATAAACTTGTAGCATTCTAACCTTCATCCAACTATTTACCTTTCATAAATATTTATACCTAACGTCTTGTTATATATTAATAGCTCAGACAGAAGCCAGCAAAGTGCTACAGATTAGCTCGCACTCTCAAAGCTAAAATAACTCAGAAATTATTACTTAATAAAACCATACTTTAGCACATACAAAACATGCCTGCACAGTCACTGTCTTGACTGTTATAAATATTTGTCTTCAGCAATTCTCAATTCAGTGTGAAT